TATATGGAAAGATTTTATAATAAATCATTGCATCTAATAAGACACAACTCTAAATGCACAAGTAGTCAAAATTCCTAATTCTCTATACTTTCCTCTTTACACTACAGGGTCTAGCATATTACCTGTTGAACCAACAACTTCTCAGCATTTAGTTACTAATATATTCATTTCAACTTCTATTTAAATACAAAATTATATAAGAAATAACTACATAAATTCAGCTGGGTGTAGTGGTGTACATCTGTAATCCTAGCGCTTGGAGGACTGCGGCAGGAGGATCATTGTGAGTTCAAGACCAGCCTGGGCTACAAAGTGAGCTCAAGGCCAGCCAAAAAAAAAACTACATAAATCCATCAACATGTCTTACCAGTTTTTACTACTGCATATTTTATGTCCCAAGCCATGATCCTACATGTAATTTTCTTTTATGGAAGTCTTTCAATTTTAAGTTGGCTTATGAATTGTTTTCTATTTTGACCTAACTCTTTAATACTTCTTGTGTTTGTTTGATAATTCTCCTTCAGCACTTTTCTCCCTTGTCTTCTGTATCTGTGAGCATTGGTTTGACATGTTAAACCTCTGGTGATTTTTCAAATCTCTCTGGTAAGTTACTGGGTGTTTTCCATAGTCTGAATTGACATCCTGAAACTCAAATGACACTCCAATGTGAATTTGCTTATAATTATTTTGTTTGGTGCTTGGATAACACTTTCCATCTGTGGTTCATGTTTTCGTTCAATTCTCTTAACGTTCTTAATTACTGGCTTAATCTATTTTTTAATTTTAACAGTCCTTCCATTCTTCTGAAATTCTTATTGGAAACATTTTTATCTCCTTTTTCTCAAATTTTCTTAAATGTTCTTTTGGACTTGCTATTTCTTTCTGTTCTGCATCCTGGAAAACTATCTTAATTCCATCTTATAGTTCTTAATAGTCATTGATTATAGCCATATATTTAATTTAGTTTACATTGTTCATTTATTGCATTTTAATTTTATTTACATAAACCATTCTATTATGTAAATGTTATTGTGCTATTATTTTATTACTTTCAAAACACTTATATTTATTTTAAAAGCTGATTATAATTTTCAATTGCTTTCATTTGAAATAAATCCATGTTGCACTGCTGGTTATAAAGCATTAGATTCCCTCACAAGTTGTAGAATTGTATTTTTCAGTATCTTTTTGAAAGAGTGGTTTTTTGTTTTATCTTTCTTACTCAGACATCTTCCTGTGTTTCTTCTTTCTGTCCAATAGATGTATGAGTGACATATTCCTCCCCCAGAGGTCCAATGTTAAAGTAGCAGTCCAAATTTATTAATCCAAAGTGACAAGTGGAATACCACAGATGACGTTTCAGGATGACAGATGGGCGGGTTGGTTAGTCTCCGATTGTGGAACTGCTCCGTGTCTCATTCAGGCCCTTGAACCAAAGCTTAATGTAAGCCACAGTCCCAGGAGGAAACCGAGAATGAGTATTACCAGACTCTTCTTGTGTGCAGAGCATGACATTCAGACTCTCTTCCCACTCTTAAGCTGGTTCTGCTTCTGCAGTGAAAGCACGAGGACCTGCAGTCCTCACCGGGCTGCCAGTGCAGTGTCTGCTTACTCACATAACAAGCCTCTGGCCTCATGGAACCTCATCAATTTACAAAGGTATTCCCTTTCCAGTCCACAGATGCATTTACCTTCTATTCAGCTCATCTCTGACATTCTGTACTTTCACTTCGGTATTATCTCCTATAGCTGAACAATTGGAAAAGAAAGGAAGCATCAAAGTTAAAGTACCGTGAAATTTTCAAGTCTCAGCATTGAGTGTTGGTCTAACTTAATTAAAGTTAAACTGGAAGAATATTGGAAAATGAATCACTCTGATACAAAGAAACAGAAGATGAATTGGAAAGCAAAAGATAACAATAATAATTAAGGAGATTCACTCTATGTTAAATATTTAAAGTGGCTTGCTTGGACCACGTCCTTTTACTTGTCATTTTATCCATGTACTATTACCAACCTTCTCTTGCACAAAAAAAAAAAAAAAATTTTTTTTTTGAAGAACAGTGAGAAATTATACAACTTTCTTGAAGTTACTGAATACAAAATGAAACAAAACGATTTGAAAGCAGTGAGTCTAACTCCAGAAAAATCTAGCTATGTTACTGTTTACTCCAAACTTAGCTTAAAGTAGCCCTATAATCCTAGAAATGTCATTTAATTTATTTTACCTCATCTGTGAAAAAATAATTACACTAAATCATTTATAAAATAGTTTCTAACCTCTAGTTATCGATGTTTTAAAATGAGTTTTTAAAAAATGAACGAATTTCAAAATGAATAGTTGTGATAACTTCCTTTTTGAGAATACTTTTGTAAATTTGTCTTGGGAGTTAAATGTTTAACAAATATCCCAATTTATTTTATAACAAACTCTAATAAAAGGTTTATCTATCTACCCATTTATATCATTAGAGATATACATTATGTCATTATATGTATATATGAAAACAAACATATATGAAAACACCCTATAAAACATTCTACATGAACAAAGCAAACTCTGCAAATAAAAAATTGAAATTATAATTTCTAGTGAATGTCAATTCAAGAAGTGAAATATCCTGACTATGAATTTAATACAGATGGTATTGGATGAAAGGACTTGCTGTTTTGTCTTTATTCAGTCTAACTCAAACTTAACCATTTTAGATCTCAACTTCTTTGTTTTCAAAAAAGATATGTGTTTTCTTTTAAGTTTTATTCATATTTGTAATACATAATGAGTAAATTCATTGTGGGGAGTTGGTAACGCACATAACACATCTCAATTCTCTTTAGGTTTTTACGTTCCCTTCTAACACACTCTTAGTTGACAAACGAGGATTTATTAAGACAATTCAGGGACCAGGGATTTATCTCAGTGGCTCAAGTGCTTGCCTGGTAAGCATGAGGTTGTGATTTCGATCCCCAGTACAATAAATAAATAAATAAATAAAATTCAGTAGACCTGTTAGTGAACAGACCAACAGATTTGGACATGGTGGCTCATGCCTGTAATCCCAGCACTCTGGGAAGCTTAGCTAGGAGGATTGCAAGTTTGAGTCCAGCCTGGAAAACTTAGCAACACCTGTCTCAAAATTTCAAAAAGCCTGAGAATGTAGCTCAGGATGAAGGCCTTGGTTCAATCCCCAATACCACCCCAACATCACACACACACACACACACACACACACACACACACACACACGCACGCTCGCACGCATGCACTGATTTATCCCATTAATGACAAAATGCCTGGGGGAACGTTACTTTCTTAATTATCCCCTAATAGTAAAAATATACCTATGTTATTTAGTTAAGAGGCAGTGTTCTACTTAGATTGTCTGTTTTAGTTTCTTTCTAAAGAGTTACTGATTCTAACTTTCCTCTTCCAAAAAATGAGATGTATCACAGTTTCTACATACAACAATACTGTGATAATTAAATGAGATAAAAAGAGTAGTGCATCTGGCACATGGTATGTGATCAGTATTTGCTTATTAAGAATGGACTTGACTATTTAAAAGGTGTTTTAAAATTGAGCTTTCTTAATAGATTAAATATTTCTATGTATTAATTTAAAAGCAGACATATGCATCCTCGTGAATAACCTAGGTACCCAGAAAGTGGGCTGTGATCAGGGAAAATGTCTTCTGTTTTGTTTACACTGAGATACCATATTCATGTTTACACATATTCATTTGATTGGAGGGATAATTCAGTATTGTGTGGAGCAAACCATCTAAAAATCATAGGCAAATGGGAAAAGATGGTGAAAATAAATGTGAGGCTTTAGCTTACTTGTCACGCAACTTCATGCTTCGTGATCAGGGTATATTTGTCAGGAAAGAGACACAACTAGGAACTAAAATCACTGTCTTCTCTAAACTCCTGGAATTGCCTCAAGGTATGGAGACTGTATATGTTCTACGACACTCTTGCCAAAATTAATTTTTCTGTCTTTTGGGCTGAAGTGGAGAAAAATAAATTGAAATATGCTAAATGAAAGAACAAAGAAATATATGACTCAATTAGTGCAATGACAGATTCATCTTGTAAATACCTTTTAACAAGAGTGCATTTTTTACACTATAAATACACCTTAGCTAAATTCAAATTTGTTTTAAAACATAAAAAAGGGAAAAAAGAGACAGATAAAACCAACATCCTGGCCCAAACTGAAAGCTATGTCTGCAATTTCATGTATTTTATCTAATTTAATTGCTTTGGGTGTCATCAACATAAAATTCAAATTCACTTGCATTTACCTAAAAAATTCAAACTACCTAAATTTGAGCTCACTTTAGACTTGAAGAAACTACAAAATCTCTTCTTTTAGTTTATCTTAGCAGTGACCTACATCAAAGAGTTCAATGAGAACCAATGTTGGAAACTGCCTTGAAGATACAAATTGCTATAATTATCTTTGAATATACATATCATTAAACTAGAATGAATGTCAATAAACTAGCACAAAAACATCCCCAGTATGCACGGTACATTATTACAAAACAAAAGTGAAATCGTTTCCTTTACTCTTTCAACAAATGTAATTTCGACTACAATTTTCACATTTTATCTGTATACATGAATTCAAATAATATTTCCCTCCACTGAAACCATTCTCCTACTTTCAAATGACACTTAGATGCTGTGATAACATGTATTTTAAGCCAAACTCAGCATTTTGCTCTGTAAGGAAAATCTAAGCATAGTAGTGAAAGAAGAAAACTGTTCCGGTAAGATCTGAACTAAAATAAACATAACAGGGTATTTAAAAATCTCTACAATACAGTTAAAATTCTATATCAACATCTTATTTAGAAGCGCAACTCCTAAAATTCTTAGAATGTTTTGACTCTTCCTATAGAGGTAGTGTAGTAGGAGAATAAAATAGAATGCTCAGTTACTCATTCTGATTGCTGTGTTTAATGTAATTTGCCCCGCGCATCCTACCTCACCTTGTCAGAGAGTACTGCTTCCCCAGGGCTGCTCCGGGGTCCTGTTGACGGATTGCTCTAATTGCGGTCGGTGCTGTAAACAAGGCAGCAACTCCATGCTCTGCAAGTACACGGAAATAAGCACCAGCATCTGGTGTTCCCACAGGCTTCCCCTGCAATGAGATTCATTTAAAATGTCACTGGGCAGAATGCCTCATAGTTCATTGACAGTTCAATACTTATACATTTAACACAGCCACATTAACAAGACGAGGTTCTCAACAAATCTTAGTTTTTAGGTATTCCCATGTTATGGAACAAATAATACCAACCAAATACTCAGGCATCAGATGTTCGCTTCATGACTGCATCCTAAAAGCTTATGTTTAGCCAGGTTTGGTGGTACATGCATATAAACCCAGCAGACAAGAGGCTGAGGCAAGAGGTTTGCAGTGAAATTGACACCAGCATGTGCTACATAGTGAGTTCAAGGGCAGCCTGAACTCTATAGTGAGACTTCACACAAAGACAGATAAATAAATCAGATTGCTCTGTGTGGTTCATTAAATGAAAGATACGATTTTTTAACATGAGTTTTTTTATTTATTTTCGCTATTAAAAAGGGTAAGATCAATTCTCAAATGTTTGAGAAAAGACAAAAACTGAAATCACAGTGATTCATAAGCAAACTCCTTTTCAGTCAAATGTCATAGTTCAGGGAAAGTAACTTTTAGAAGAAAATATTTTGAAGAAAATCTCATAATGTATAATAAAACGTATATTTTCCACATCTTTAAAATGCCATTGTACATGTTCGACTGAAAAATCATGGGCTTTTTTTTTGGCAAATAATACAATTTAAAAAGAAAAAAAAAAAGATATTTCTACAGATAAGGAAATGAGAAAGTTATAGAAATAAGTTAAACTCTGTAAACATTCTAAGTGCCTCATAAAATATGTCTTGACCTCTCATATCCTTTATTCTGCAATTCATTTTCATCATCGCTGTTTCTAAAACAAAATGCCTGACGTACATAATTCATAGTAAATTCCTTTGTACATGTTGATATAAAGAAGATGAAAACAATTTTTAGATTATTTCTTGAAGATTTAAATGTATTAAAGTATGCAATGAGTTTCCATAAGATGGGTAATCATATTTACATTCCTTGAAATTCTCTGACCAAATTCCCCATCTGAGTTTCCCATGAATCTGGAAAACACATAGGAAACTCTGAACTAAGGCAAAAAGAAAACACTTTGCTACTAGGAAATACAGAGATCTTGTCACAAAAACAACAATCAAAGAACCAAGGAACAATCAGGGAACCAAGATAGACCATAAATGACCTATAATTTAAATTCAATATCCATTTCTAGCTAGACATTTGATAGGTACTATTGTTTTTATTTTATTTTTAAATGATTGTCTTTTATATTCTTCAGCATAATTACCTTTCCTCTCTTTAAAAAATAACATCTTTCAACATTTTTTAATACTCACGTCTTCTCTTTTGTTCTTTCATTATCAAAATATTTTTTGTTGCCACTGAAATTGGTTCATATTATCATATTGTCCTAAAAGTACTCCATCTCAATTGATTTCAGTATTATTTCGTACAGGTCAAAAGTTTCAAATCGCATAAAATATTACCATATACAATCCAGCAACCTATGTATATAATTTGACTCACAAAATATGAAGCCTTCAGCACATGTCAAAAGTGATTCAACAACTTCATTCTTTCTAACAGTGTGAGGTACACATTTGACTTTAACTTCTTTGCTATGTCTTAGAAGCAGTGAGTCCCTTAAGTACTTGACTTGTGAAACTTGATCTCACCCATACAAAAATGATTTTTTAAAGTTTTATGAAATTCACTTGTTCTGTCTATATGTCTATCTTTTTTTTTTTGCCTACTAAATAAGAATAAATCACTTTGCAAACATTTATGGATAAACTAACAACATTCAGATAATATTTAAAATTAATTTGACCACCACAGAAGAAAGATATTTTGTATCCAATTGAAGTTGAATTCTAGTACAGTGCTAATGCCATGGTATTATAGACAGGAAAGCTAGGTAGAAATAGTATAGGTAATCAGATAGGTCTAGAACCAGGAGACAGTCAGAATAAAGGAAAAACACATCTCCACTGTGGGCCAGAGACATCTTTTGTGACCAGGCTTCAAGATAAAGATGAAGTGATCCACCCTGTGTATATGAATGACAAGCACCAAGCCTGATAAAGCCTGATGAAGCCTGGATAGACATTAGTTACCCCAGTGGGTGACCAAGACCTCTGGACCTATCATTTCCAATTTTAGTATACGTGCTGCTGAAGGACCTGTAATTTCTTTCCAAGTACCCTAACTGCATGACTTTTTCCCCATTGGGTCACTAAGTAACTCTCACCTTTTTAGTTAATCATAAATGTAACCCATGTTGTATCCACATGAGTAATGCTCTGTAAAATTTCCCTGCAAAGTGAGGTTGTCAGTAATGCATTCGAGGCCCCTCCTGCCTCTCAGGAGTTATACATCTCTTAATAAATATTTCCTATCCTTAACTTCCATTATTTCTGGAATTCATTCTTGATTTTTAAAGAAATGGCAAATCAGATATCTAATAGGTTAAAAGACATATTTTCTTATATATCTCCTGCATCAACTTGTAACAATCACTCAATAATACTACACACTTATAAAAGTATCATAATGGAAATGCAGTATCATGAACATCTATTTGAATAAAAGATGCAATTTCATGTCCTTTGAAAGCTTTCAATTAAGTATATTTAATGGTAACCAAAGTGATAAATTAAGTACTAGAAATATTATTTTTAAATTATAGCATACTTTTTTATACATAAGATTTTAACTGGCCCAATCCCAAATTTTCATCTAAATTATATTTACTGAACATAAAAATCATAACACAGAATTGCTATTAGGACTCTAAGGAAGTGATGTATAAAGTCTCATAATGTTCCTTTGTGAGACCACTGAACTCAGAAAAGTTCAGGATTTTTGCTTTTTATCATTAATTTCCAAAAAGACAATTTTGCAACACAAATAAAGGATTTTCCTATTTTAAAATTACTTTTATTGTCAAATTTAATTAACTAGAAAGTTACAGTATCACAGAAATTACTTTTTCCAAAAAATTGCCTGCTGATTAACAAGTATTAGATCTGAATGGTGTAAAAACTTCAGGTAACATGAGGCAGAATAAAACAGTATGTTTCATCAGAAGTCACTGTTCATATACAAAAAAATTACAATACAATAGGTAGTGCTAGTATAATCATTCATTTAGCAAATATTTATTACATATGTACAATGTGCTAGATTTTATTTTAAATTTTTGGAATAATTTTGTGAATAAACCAGCTAAATTTCTACTGTAATGGAATTTATATTTTGGCAACTAAGGGTATGTGTGTGTGTGTGTGTGTGTCTGTTTGTGTGTGTACTATGAAGACTTTCATAGCAGATGCCACATGCTATCCGTGTCTAGTGACGAGACAAAACACAGTAATAACATAGGACTGATTATGTTCCCACTATCTACCACCATTAGAGTTTCAGAAAATGTAAATAAACCTCTCTGAATGTTTTGTTACAGACAATAAACAAAAGTGACTTAATGGTTTATTCTTTTTATTGAGCACTTTTCCACTCCCCTTCTCAGGCATGCACACAGGTAAGCATGCACAGTTACAATATAATCTTTTTACAATGCTTTTGAAAATAGCAAACAACCCACTAATCATGGTTTCGACCTGAAGAAAATGACACTGATTCCAGAACTTGCATTTTCAATAAGAAGCATTCGCCCAAACAATATTTAATTTAAAAATAATATTTTAAGACAATGGACTGTGGAGATTTTACATACAAAGCACAGCAAGAGCCGGAAGGAAACCCAAGTCACCAAAGTAAAGTCTCTTCAAATTCAAATCATTGCCATTTGAGGGGAGAATGTCACCATTTGCTTTTTAAATTCTCTTTCCCAAAACTAAAGTCTATTTTATCGGTTGCTACCTAAATAATATAGACCAAATGATGAAGCAGAGATACTAAGCCTCAGCTGTTACAAGTCATGAAATTTTAACATCAGAGTTCTAAAAGATATATCACCTGCCTAACAGTTGGATTTATGATGTGGTTAGTGATGGTACAAAGCACAAGAACCAAGACACTTATAAAATATCTTAAAAATAACTCCTGTAATGTTCTACCACTTAAGACACAACGCATTAATGTTAATGCATGATAGGTTCTTGATTAAAAACGCAGGTAACATCTCAATTTCCCACATGTTCCCTACTGGTGTTAAATTTTCAACATAAGAAAGTAGTGAAATACAAGCCCTTAGGAAAAGAAAGGAATACTTAAACATTCAAGTTAAATCTTTGAGCAAATAATTATCAGCTTTATTATTAATCCTGTAATGTGATTTATGCAATGCTGGAGGTCAATGCTGCTTAGAGTCCTTTATACTCAGACATAAAAATTTTTGAGTCAACTAGAATTTTATGTGCACACACATCAGTATTAGAAATACATCTCGTCTCTTTTTGAACGCTACTTTTGAGAATGTCACCCAAGGCATGTTTCGCAGGCAGTTCTAAGGGGAAGACAGCAGCATCCCTGTTGAGTAGGACTGAATTTCATTTCAGCAGACAGGTGCTGCAGAGCGTTAGCTTGTTTATTTCAGAACAGTGATGACACTGGCAATAGCAATTGCTGAGTTCCTCCGAGGTGTTATATATTTTTATCAAGGCATGTGTGTCTGGGCTGCAGCATGGAAACCAAAGACTTACTAACACACTAACAATTCCCTAAGACATACCAGGCAGTTAAAAAATCAAAATGCAGAATAGTGTGTGTACTATTTGTATAATGTAATTTGTATAAAACAGAGGAAAAGACACTTATTATACATAAAACAACCAATGAACGTAAGAATCTGATGACCTTCATAGTGGAGAAACTTGAAAGCTGAGAGCTTGGGATGGTGAGATCAATACTATTCTTCTTTTACCAAGTTTTGAAATATGAAACAAATGAGTGAATGAACTCTTTTAAAAGTGGACATTTTATCCAGAGTTCCCCTGTCTATAACTCACATCCTTTTATACTGAGTTTGAAAACATCACTGCTGT